CCCCAGGTCACCGGCGCCTCCCACTTTCTACAATCAAAGAGCCTCGGCTGACCACAATGCTAGGCGACGAGTACTTCTCCATTCTGTAGCGATCAGAATGGGGAAAAACACCACCATTATTCGCGGCTCGGCCGTCTTTGCGCGCCCTCCGCTGTGCGGCAAACAGCCTCGCCTGTTTCCCCTTTCTGAACTGCCGCCCTCGCGTCGTCTTTGGTTTGATCTGAGCCATATACCGTATCTCCCTCTCATCTAGAACGATACTTTTTTCTTTCCCGAAACCACCTAGCATTCTTCAGTCTCTTCTCTTCATGCCCATCGTTCCAGTCTACTGAAATCCCACGGGGCTTCCATGCCAGCTTCGGGCTCTGTCTCGGCCTCGTCTTCCATATACCCTCGCTCGTTGATATCGTCCCTGTTCCATCATCATGTCGTCTGAACATGCCGACGACGCCAGTCCCCCCGCGGGACCTCGCGCCTCGTGGAAGCATCTCTTCGCCTTCACCAGGGCACGCCACTGGACCAGTCTCATCGCCGCCATTGTTGCCTCATGCGCTGTTGCCGGCTTCAAAACGTCGCTCGCCGTCTGCATGGGCCTCTTCTTCCAGATCGCTGCCGACTTCGCCAGTGGTGACCTCTCCGGCCCTGACACTCTGAAGCAGGGGACAGATCTTTGTGTCGTTCTCTGCGGGCTTGGTGCCGGCCACTGGCTCGCCAACACCGTCTTCCTGTCGACATGGTTCCTCTTTGGCGAGCTCCAGGCCCGGAGCGTGCGGGAGCAGATGTTCGAAACCCTGCTCGACAAGAAAATGGCCTGGTATGATGCTCAAGCCGAAGGCGTATCCAGTCTTCTCGTCAGAATCGAAACGTAGGTCCTTCCCTTCACTCCATGAATCCTCCCACTGACAACATCTAGACAAACCCGAGAGCTGCAACTGGCCACCTCACAAGTCTTCGGCTTCCTTGTCAGTGACTTTGCCGTCTCCCTCGCCTGCATCATCCTCTCCTTCATCATGTCGTGGCGGCTCACCCTTGCCCTCCTGGCCACCCTGCCCGTCTCCTTCTTCATCCTCGCCTGGATCAGCCGGCCCCTGGAGCCCGCCATCCGCGCCCAAAAGGGCCGCCTCACCACAGCCTCAAAGTACACAAACTCGTCCTTCACCGGCATCGACCTCGTAAAGGTCTACAACGGCTTCGACCAGGAGGTCTGGCAGTACACCCGCGCCATCCGCGCCGCCACCACCCAATACCTCATTCAGGCGCGCTGCAATGCGGCGCAGATGGGCTACGCTAAGTTCTGGATCGTCAGCCTGTTTGTGGTGGGTTTCTGGTATGGCATCGTCCTCGTCGACCAGGGCGCCTCGGCCTTTCAGATCTTGACCACCTTTTACGCCACCTTGACCGCCCTCCAAGGCATCGAGAACCTTATGCCCCAATGGCTCGTCCTCGCCAAGGGTATGTCTGCCGGTCAGGCGCTCCAGGACACTATCAGGTCCGGAAACAGCCGGTTCGGCAGCACGGGGCCCAAGAGACCCAACAAGCCGGCCGAGTGTGCCGGCGATATCGAAGTCATCGACGTAGGTGATCTGACCCCTTCGCATAACCACGCTAACACATCTGTCCATAGGTCAGCTTTGCTTACCCGACGAGTCCCGGGAACATCGTTCTCCAAAAGTCATCCTTCTTCTTCCCCGCCGGCGAGACCTGCTTCGTCGTGGGACGCAGCGGCTCAGGGAAGAGCACCCTCGGCAACTTGCTGGTCAAGTTCTATGAGCCTCTCGCTGGCGACATCCTCATCGACAACCAACCTCTCCAGACCCTCGACGACCAATGGGTTCGCAACAACATCACCCTTATCCAGCAGTCCAACGTCCTCTTTAACGACACGTTCTTCAACAATGTGGCGCTTGGCAGCGAAGACCCAGAAAACGCAACAGCCGAGCAGGTCAGGCAGGCGTGCGACTCGGCTATGCTGCACTCGACCCTGGCGGCGCTCCCCAAGGGACTCGACACCCTCGTCGGCACGGGCGGATACAGCCTCAGCGGCGGACAGAAGCAGCGGCTCGCGCTGGCGCGGGCCAGGCTGCGCGACCCGCCGGTGCTCATACTCGACGAGGCCACGAGCGGCCTCGACCACGTCAGCAAGACACTCGTCATGGAGGCGCTCCGTACATGGCGCAAGGGCAAGACCACCATCATCATCACCCACGACCTGACGCAGATCCAGGATGAGGACTATGTCTTCGTCATGGACAAGAGCAGGCTCGTCCAGGAAGGGTTCCGCGGCGCGCTGGCCAAGCAGACTGGCGGTTTCTTCTCGACCCTCCTCGCAGCCACCGACGACTCGGAGATGTCTGACGTCGACGAGACCCTCTCGCCCATCCCCATCGACGATAATATGCTCACCAGCCCGATTATGCCGAAGCCCCCGAACCCAGCTCGCTTCTCCGATCTCTTCACCAGGGGCTTTGCACCGGCCCCGGCCGACGCCAAGCAGGAACTCCAACGCAGACACTACTCGTCAGTGCTGGGCGACGGTACCTTCCGAGCGAGTCTCATCAGGACCCAGGATCTATGGGGAGAGTCATCTACCGCCGCGAGCGACACTCGTCCCAGTCACAAACGGTGGTCATCCTGGGGCGCCGGCGACCCTACCAGGAAACGAGACCACAGCGTCGCCCGGTCTGAAGGAAGGGCGTCGGCACGAGACAGCATCGACATTGTGCGCGTGGCGGGGCAGAATATCCAGGCGACTCGGACAAAGAGATCCACGCTGACTCTCGCGTCGCCTACAAGATCAGAGGGCGGAACTTTCGACGCCTTTGAAAAGGCCTGCCACATCGAGGCCACCACAACCGCCGACCCGGACACACCGGAAACCAAGGACGACTCGGAGTACGCGTCTATTCCGACCATCATGCGCAGTGTCTGGGGCCACCTCTCGCCAATGGACCGGCTACGACTCGTGGGCGGCATGGCGCTCTGCGTCGTCGTCGCCGTCGCCGGGCCTGTTTTCTCCTACGTCTTCGCCGGGCTCCTCGCGGCCTTCTGGGCCGACACGGACAAACGCGAATCGGCCGGGCAGAAATGGGCCATCATCCTGCTTGTCGTCTCCGTCGTTGATGGCCTTGCCACAGGATTTGGACGCTACCTCATGGAACACGCCGGCCAGGCCTGGGTCAACGCGCTGCGCCTCGAGGCTCTCAAGCGCATCCTGCAGCAGCCGCGGACATGGTTTGACAAGCCCGAGAATGCGGCCAGCCGCATCAACGAGTGCCTGGACCGTAATGCTGAGGAGATGCGGAATCTGGTTGGGCGCTTCACACCGATGCTGATCATCGTCGGTGTCATGGTGTCGACAGCCATCGTTTGGTCTCTCGTCATCTCGTGGAAGTTGACTCTCGTGGCGCTCTCGGGCGTGCCTGTTGTCGTCGTTGCCGTCCAGGCCTTCTCATGGACCAGCTCGCGATGGGAGACGCGCTGCAACCGCGGCGCAGCCGACACAAGCGCCGTCCTGACCGAGACGTTCACCAGCATCCGCGTGGTCAAGAGCCTCACTCTCGAGCGACACATGGGGGCGCGGTACGACGCCAGCGTTGCTTCGACCTTTTCCCTAGGCGTCCGGCGAGCACTGTACACATCGCCCATCTTCGGCGTGTACCAGTCGGTCAACTTCTTCCTGCTGGCGCTCATCTTCTTCTACGCCATGCTCCTCATGGCGAGGACGTACGAGATGTCCCCCGAACAGCTGCAGCAGGTGTCCAACCTGCTCGTCTTCAGTCTCGGCCAGGCGGCCTCGCTCCTCGGCACGGTACCGCAAATGTCCACGTCACGAGCCACGGCGGCGCGCATGCTCGACTACGCCAGCTTGCCAGACCACTCGATCGACGACAGCCCTGAAGCCGGCGGCTCGCACAAGGTGACGACTCCGCTGCCGGTGCGCGCCAACCACCTCGAGTTCGCGTATGATTCGCGGCCTGACAACCACGTTCTACGCAACCTGAACCTCGAGATCGAGCCAAATACCTGCACCGCCATTGTTGGCTCTTCAGGCTGCGGAAAGAGCACCTTCGTGTCGCTGCTCTTGGCCCTGTACGCGCCTTCGACGCCTCCAATGCTTTGGTCCGACAAGCCGCCACAGCTGACCTTTGCGGGCATTCCCTTCTGGGAGGTCGACCGGCAGCATCTGCGGTCGCTCATGGCCTTTGTGCCGCAGACGGCCTTCCTCTTCCCCGCGACCATGGCCGAGAACATCTCCTACGGGCTCGGCGACATGTCACCACTTCGCGACGCGGCCAACATCGAACGGGCGGCAAAGGCAGCAGGTCTCCACGAATACATCATCTCGCTGCCCTCAGGCTACGACACGCTCATCGGCGAAGGCGGCCAGGCCCTCTCAGGCGGCCAGGCACAGCGTGTGTGCATCGCTCGAGCGTTGGCGCGGCGGCCGAAGCTGCTGGTGCTGGACGAGCCGACGAGCGCGTTGGACGCCGAGACGGCCGAAACGGTGCGACACACGATCAGGAGGCTGGTTTCTGACCCGGCGCACAAGGGCATGGCGACGGTGATTGTGACGCACTCCAAGGAGATGATGCAGCTGGCCGAGGATATTGTCATGCTGGACAGCGGTCGGGTCGTTGAGCAGGGTGGCTATGAGGAGTTGCTTGCCAAGGGAGGAAGCTTCAGCAGGCTACTTGGAGGAGGTTCATGGCAGATGACAAAAGAAGGACTGAAGATGTAGGGGAAGAAAATAATGGATGGGCTGTACATAGCTTTCATTTCGCAGGATATTGTTTTGGAGCGTGGCTTCATCATACCTCTAATTGCACCACACCTGATAAGATAAGCATTGCCTAGAAGCACGCACCCAGCACCGTGAGCTCATATTGATCACTGCTCCGTCCTGGCCAGAGGATAGGCATCCATGGATGACACTGGATGATATTCTACTCCAATTGAGAAAAAGGAGACCTCTCCAAGAGAGAAGAGGCAAAAGTTGAAGTTGATGAGAGTGGGATTCGAACCCACGCCATTACTGACTAGTAAGCCGGATGGCGTTCCGAAGAACTCCTCCTGAAACTAGCGCCTTAGACCACTCGGCCATCTCACCTGATTATTAATCTGTGTAGTTTTTTCAAACCATGAGGTCATCTCATCCCGCCGATGTCGCTCTTCTCTGGCAGCATTGAACAGCCGCCTGCAACGTTGGATGCAGATGTTATCAGATATCCAACAAGCCCATCATACTTAATCCAGTCCAGGACCTTGTCCAAGTTCTTACCAAAGACAGCTAGATCCCCCGCGGCGCACTCCCGGGAGCACCCTGCGTGCCAGCCGGCGTGGTTCGCGCGGGTGGACGGACAGCCGGCCGGCCGACGCAAGACGCAAGATCATGCACCTCACAGAGTGCAAGCAGCGGCCAGGCAGGCCACTTGCCCCCGATGCACCACGCGCAAGCTGTCCGGATCAAGAAGGTGACGGGGCGTGACTCGCGGGAGCATTTTGAGGGCGCGGGGTTCCGGCGCGTGCGAGGGCCAATGGACGCCCAGAATTACTCAGCCGGCGTCTCTTGGCGCAGCTCGGGGGGAAGGAACACCCCAGACGACAGGGCAGGAGCCCCCCGGAGAGCACCTGCCCGGCCTGTAACTTCAGGGCGCTGGAGGGGCAGGAGCGCGGGAGGGGCTGTTCCTTCCCGTTATCTCAGTGGGCTCGGGATGCAGGGTGGCATTTGTCGCTGTCGTGCTCTCACTCTGAGGCTGTTCATCACCCTGCGTCAACATTCTTCCACCACACCTCGGACAAACACAGCAGTGCACCTCCGCCGGCGCCGCCACAAACACCACCACCAACGGCACATGTCCCCGTCGGTCCTCCCCCACCCGCCTTGCCCGCCTGGTCTATTTGTGCCATGGACATCTTCGCCTCGCTTTCCCTCCTTGAGCACGACTCGGATCCGACGTGAGGCGCGCGATGGCGGCTGCCCGCATTGGCCTCCTCCAAGACCAAGACCTCCCAGGCTCGCCCAGCATTGACATTGGACCCTCCGGCCGATCACGAGCCCACCTACGTCGCCGGCAGTGGATTGCATCGGGCAGGTAACTCGGACTCTCGACATTGCTGAGCTACCATAGTAGGCAGGTGGGTTCGAGGTCGAGCCTCGAGCATCGCGTCCGTCCATTGCTGCCCGGCCCGGAGCCGTCAAGGTTGCTCGCGTTGCTGCTTTGCTTTGCGTTGCTCTACTCTGCTCTGCTTGCTCCGACCCCGGATTCTCCAATCTCGCAGCCCATAGGACAGGCTCAAAAGGCGTGATGGACACATGCTGGCGTCGACCGGTCGCGCCTTTCTCTCGTGCCAGGCGATTGACTACTGACTACTCCGGCAGCGCAGCCACTACCGTTGCTGCTTCAGTACTTTTAGGGGCGTTCCGTCCTCGCCTCGGCTCTTTGTCTCGGGACGCGCCCGCCATCTGGTTTAACGAAGTACCTCCTTGCCCGGTCCGGCCTTATCCCGTCGTCGACTCATCAGGTCGCCGCTGCTGAGCTCACCTCACCACGCTCGAGCTTGGGCCAGATTATCCGTGACGCATACACCACCTCGACTACTCACCAACTTCACCTCCTCAACTCAGCCATCCCACTTCATCTTCACATCAACAACATCGACTTTCGAATTGCACGTGCCGTGCCGTGCCCACCATCTCCAATCCCGACTATTCCTCGTCGCCTCGCCCACCCTGGTCCCAGCACCTGCAGCTGGAGCACGCAAGGACACAAGGCACGCAAGCTTCAAGCTCCAGTCGCCCGCCGACTTCGGGCCTCCACACCCCTGGTCTGCCCCGGATCCCCGTATAACCGCCTCTGACGACTGCACCTGTGGCTCCGTCCGCCGGCCGACGTTGCGCAGGCGAGAGGGCAACAGTCGAAAACTTTCTTCGACGTCGCTCCACTGCCGAGACGTCAAGTCTAATCACCGGCTGCGCTTCCTTTTTCCATCTGCAAATCGCCTTCGGCACATCGCATCCCTCGCCTCGCCCCTGACTTGACGCCTACCCGCCGGTCCCGGGTGCCTGGCCCCTCGTCGATCCGAGGCGCGGCGGCCGCCCGATATAGAAGCTGTAATGGGGGCTGTTGCCGTGACGTAAACACGCCCAAGAGTTTCCGATCCGGTCATGGACTTCACTCATGACCCGTCACCGGGACGTACGTCGCCGGCATCCACACCTGAGCCAGGACCATCTCCTACCAAACGACAAAATATCGGCTCTGCCGTGACGCCTAAAGGTGCGCATTGCTCTACCTCCCTCCCTTTCCCCGGCCAGCCCCCGGTGGTGTGGTCAACTGACATGGCCATCCTGACCTAGACCTAGACGACTCGAGTCCATGGACCTCTGACGCCGAGGAGCCATCCCCGCTGTTGGCCCTGCCGCCCGAGCTCATCGATGTCATCCTACGGTACCTCTCGCCTGTCGACCTAGCCAAAGTTGCTCAGACGTGCCATGGCCTCCGTTCTCATGCCATTTCGGACGTCCAATGGCTTCCCCGCGTGCAGGAGTATGTGCCAGGCGTTATCCTGACTACGCCGACGCCCTGCCTGTCATACCGCGAGCTCTATGTCGCACACGACCCCCGATGGTTCCTGACCAAGTACAAAATATGGTTCTGTGACCGCCATCTGATGGGCAAGATGATCGTCGTGCGCTATGATCAGCGCCGGGGATGCATCGAGGGCTACCAGCTGCTAGCCAACGTCAAACCCGCCCCGCCGCATCAATGGCCCGCCGACGGCCAGGTCACCATCCATTCCTTTGAACCTCGCGTCAGGCTGCATCTCGACAAGCCCGTCTTGCAGTTCCACGTCGGCGACGGGGATGACCACTCGCCCTTTGAGGAGGTACCAGCAGATGCCAACCGTCGCTTCTTTGGAGAGACACGCATGCGGCTGGACAACAATGCGGACCACATCTTCTGTAACTTTTCACTTGCAAAACCCCTCGAACCCAGCATCGTTGAGGAGCGTTTCGCCCTTCGATTCCCGTACGAAGGCGCATGGCCGCCGCGGGCCATTCCCGCCGCGCCCCATCGCGTCCACGGTTTCGCTAATAGCGATGAAAACCATGATCTCTCCATGGCGGATCGCCCGTTCTCCCGAGAAGAGGCATCAGACCGCACCTTTCGCATCCGGCAATGGATGGAGATGGTTGGCACGAATCCAGCTCCTGGTGCCGTGCTTGGCGAGGGCATGACCGGCATGATGCACGCTCTCCTCACCGCCGGCTTCATGCCCGTGGGCTGGGAGCCAGGAACAACTGCCTTGCCGCCTCTGAATGGCTTCAGCGCCCCTCGCATCGGAGAAGAGATAATCACATACTCGACACTAGATCCAGCCCTCTACACGCCCACAGAGTGGAAGCCGTGGAGAGGCATCTGGGTCGGAGACTATAGCGGCCACGGCTGCGAATTTCTCCTTGTCCACCAACCCGATACCCCGGATGACGAAGCCTCAGATGAGGAGCTCGGCCTGATACAGCGGCCCGACGAGCCATCAGAGGCCTGGGAAGAGCGTCGCCGCCGGGGCCGCATCTACCGGGGACGCCTCGAGGCAATCAAGCTGACGGGCGACCCTAACGTGCCTCGCGGAGAACATACCTTCATTGCCGAGGATCTCAGCGATGCAGGACTTGTCACCACCCTAGAAGATCCACCTTTCCAGGGTGCCCGAGTGGTGAAGAGTAAGGGCCACGTCGCTGGGACAGGATTCCACGGAGGTAAGCACATGTTTCCCCCTCATGTAGGCAAGTTACTGACCGTCGGGGTGTAGACAAGTACATTGAGTCGCAGCTCATGCTTCTTTCCAACGACAGGCTGGCGCAGCACTGGGTTGGGTTCGGACACATCAGCTACTTCCAGCGCGTCGACATTGACGCGCTTCTCATCCCGTGATGCCAATGCAGTGCGGGAAGAACCATGAGAGTCGCCTCATCGGTGCTCTGGGCGGCGTGCGTGAGCCGATGAGAAATTCGCAGCTGGCTGGAAAGCCACCTGCACAAGAACAGTCGTGTCAGGGCCTTTGTACAAGGACGTCGAGCGGCTGGGCATTCACTTTAATACGCAAAGAAAGCCGAGAATATGCGAGACGAATCAGCATGGTGTCATCGGGCAGGCCCCGGCTCGGGTAGATACGGTCTTGCCGGGCGCACTGTCGATCTCCCGAGCTGGGCCGGAGACGCATCGGATGCAGGCGGCGGGATGGATTCCGAAGCAACATGCTTCTGGTATACGGTTTACGTCGGATCAGTGAGTTTTCGTGCATGAGACAGAACGACGAGCAAGAGATACGACAGCAATACAACGCTTTATGCTATTCCAAACACAGGCTATGACTTGGCCGGCTCGCCACGGCTCACATTCGTGGGGCGGCATGCATGATACGCTTACTGAGAATGCAGGGACTGGTGAATGGTTAGCTTGAGGACCAGTATGTGCGTGTCTTCAGTCAGGTACTCACAATCGCGAACTTGCTCTTGGAGCGGATGGTTTCCCCCCAAAACACCAGACACCACGGGATGACGCTCAGCGCCGTGCCTATGCCGCCGAGAAGCGCACCCGCCCTCTCCTCACCAAGGTTCCGGAACAGGAAGCCGGTGACAAGGGGGAAGACGCCGCCCAGGATGTTTCGGCAGCACGACTGCGCGGCGAGGGCTGACGATGCGTACTTGTGGTAAATGTCGGCGAAGTAGTTGAAGGTGGCAAGGTAGACGGAGTAGATACCCCATGTGGCCAGGGCGATGCCGGTGGCTGGGCCGAACCAATGGACGTCGGGGCGCACGGTGAAGCCAAAGATGAAGAGACCAGCTGGTAGGAACATTGCGGTGATGCAGGTGAAGTAGAGGCGAGACTCGGGGGCCTCGGCTGGAAACCGGCGGCGCATGAAGGCCCAGAAGGCGCTCTGAGGGGCGGCATGGTCTGCGCGCCACTGGGGAAGCCGGAGCAGACGGTCCTGGAAGACGCCGACGACGGTAGCGATGATGGAGCCGACGATCATGGCGCCGAAGAAGTAGCCTGACTGTTCGATGTCGAAGTTGCGGCGGCGGGCGAAGGCCAGGGGGATGCT